TGGGGTTTGGCCACTGAGGCCTGGTAACTCCCCCATGATATGACCTAACATGATATAATCAATCCCATAAAGTACAGGCTGGGGGTTCCAAGCAGTCATAAGATTATGGTAGAATGCAACCCCCCTACTTAGATCACAGCGCTGATGCAAATGAAAGGAAATTTCCTTGGGGCATGGCCTATTTCCTATATAAGGACCCTGTGGAAAAACTTGTTTCCTTTTTGCTAGGTCTGGATTCTACATCTGGCTCATGGACTTCCAGTTCTGGACTTGAGCCAACCAATGGCCTGCCAGCTTGCCTGCTAACCCTGGAAGCCAACAGCAGCCTGTCCTCTTACCTGCTGACCTGGGGTTCCTTCTCCCCGGCAGCTGGGCATCAGCCTGCCGTGTTCCTTTTGATCTAAAGCCAACTGTGCCCCCAAGGTGACACCAGTGAGGAGAAGCCTCCAGCTTAGCATCTGGCCCTGGGGACTCGGAGAAGATGTGCCCACTTCTGCAACTGCGTGAGCCGTTTTCTTGATGAAGATTTCTCCCTAGAGAAACTAAGCATCGCTGGGTTTGCTTCTCTAGAGAACCCAGCCTAACACAGAGGTCACATGAGAACTACATGCAAACTGCCCAAAAGGCAGATACTCAGCTATCTTTTTCTGAACCTCTTGTTTACAATCCTACTACAGTTTTCTTCCAGTCTACACTCCCCACCACCCCTAACACTGGTATGAATAAGGTCAAGTCGTATTCTTATTGTGTATTGCTGCAGTAACCAGTTACCACAGTTGGGTGGCTTAAAGTAATGCAACTTTATTCTCTTGTAGTACTGTCAGTCAGAATTCTGAAATCGGGTTCACTGGGCTCGTCAAGGTACTTTCAGGAATTTAAATTTTTTTCCTGGAGGCTCTAAGAGAGCATCTGTTTCCTTGCCAGTTTTGACCTTCTAAAGGAGCTTTTCTTCCATGATTCAGGACCCCTTTCTTCCACATTCCAATATTTCTCTTGTCACTACTCTGACATCCACTTCTGTAGTCAAATCTGCTTCTGTTTCCTCGTATTGACAAGGACACTCCTGATGGCATTTAGGGTCACTGCATAATCCAGAATGATCTCTCAGCTCAAGGTCCTAAATGTAACTGCATCTGAAAGTTCCTTCTTGCTATGCAAGGTAGCAGGGGTTACATCCAGGTAGCAGGGCTTAGAACATGGGCATCTTTGGAGGTTATGAGTCAACCTACCACATTACTAAATTCCTAATTGTCAAGTTCATTGTCTTTTTCTTCTTCTTCTTCCAGTTATTGTCCTCTATTTCTCTTGATATTTGATATTGTCAACTGTTCGGGGAAAAGGTCCTCTTCTGACTCTCAAAACATGATTATTTTCTACTGATGTGGAGTTTTTGCTGACTTGCCTCTTTCTCTAGACGGTGTGACCCAGGAGAGCAGGAAGCTTGTCTAACTTGCTAGCTATTCTGTCTCAGTTCTTGGTGCTATCAAATGTTTAAGGGATCAAATGGTGTTTCTCTCATTCTTCTTCATTGGCTTCCTGTACTTTTTTGTGTGATGACTTAGTTCCCCAGGGTTTAGTGCTAGCCCTCTCCTCCTTAAATTATAGCCCAGCTTCAACGGAGTTCTGAGGTCTCTCAAATCTATACTGTAAATCTGCTTCTGGTTTTGCACTTGCAACCCTTAATCTTTACCTAGATTTCCGCAAAGCATGACAGTTCACAAGGCCTGTTTTTTTCCAATCAGCAAATAAGTATAACAACTTAAAACTAACTTCCCCTTCCCCTTGAACTCTTGACTCTCTGTCTTAAGGGATAATAGCATTTACCAATACCCCAAACAAAAAGAATGGGAGTCATTTCAGACTCTATTCTTTGTTAGCAGACACCCACCAAATTAGGTCAGTTATCTTCAAAGTTCTGTCAATCTCATTCTTAATGTTTATCACTTTTTTTTCTTCTGATCTGTGAATCTACTGACAATTGGACTATCTCTGCTTTCTACTGTCCTTTTTTTTTTAAACATTTTATTAGGGGCTCATACAACTGTTATCGCAATCCATACACACATCAATTGTGTAAAGCGCATTTGTACATCATTCTCAAAACTTTTTCTCTCCACTTAAACCCCCGACATTAGGTCCTCATTTTCCCCCTCCCTCCCCATTCCCCCCTCCCTCATGAGCCCTTGATAGTTTATACATTGTTATTTTGTCACACTCTTTTTTTCTTAATTTAATTTCACATATTTATATTGAGAAGAGCCGAGGGCTGCTAAGGTCAGCAGTTCAAAAACGCCAGCTGCTCTCAGAAGAGGCTTCTACTTGCATAGAGACAGTCTTGGAGACCTAGAGGCACTTCTACGTTGTCCTTTATGGTTGCGATGAGTCAGAATCGACTGGATGACAGCAAGTATATTTATCTAATTTTGTTGGTGACACCATCTACAACAAAACATACACAAATTCAGCATTTTACATGCACAATCAGTGACACCGATAATATCCCCACTCTCTCTTTTTGAGCTACTCCTAATCACAGGATAAACTCACTGCCCTCTCTGATTCCTGTCTAATCTTTTGAGTTGCTGCTGTCATGGGATCCTATCGATACAGTTCTTAAAAGAGCATGATGGGCCAAGCAGGTTGTTTCACTAGTTAAGCTAAACTACTGTTTAGTTTTAGGTGGACTTCAAGGATCTTTCTGGTCTAAGATTTAGAGATTATATGAAAGCAATAGTTTTGGCAGGACATATGGCATCAATGTTCCAAAAAGTCTAGGGCCCATGATAATTTGAGATTCTGGTCTAGATTTCTGCCCCTTTGATCCAGATCTTCTACCAAATCTTGGATAAAACTGTTCAGTAACTGTAGGTAGGGTCAATCATTTTTTTTCTGGAGTTATAACAAAGGAGGGAGTTGTTCATAGAAGCAATTAGCCACACATCTCATTTCCTCCTCCATTTACTGACTCCCCTTCTTCCCGTTGCCCTCGGTGAACATAGACTAACTGCTCTATCTTAGATGGCTGCCAGCATGCATTTAAGACCCTAGATCATAAAATTAGGAGGTAGAACAAAAGCATTAAATATGCTATTAGGCTAATGAGCTGAGGTGTCCCAGGAAATCATGACCTGAAAACTCCAAAACAAGGAATTAAAAAGCCCACGAAGCACTTGGTTGTACATAACCTGCTTCAACAACTACTCTTTGTTGTTGTTTTCAATATATCACACAACTTTAGCCAATTCACTATTTTATCGGTGCACAACTGATGAAAGCAATTACATCAATTGGCTGTGCAACTCTACCCTTAACATATATCATATTTTCATCTCCATAAACTGAAACTCAGTACTCTTATCAGCAATAGCCATCTCCACACTCTCCATACCTGGTAACCACTAACAAACTTTGATCTCTACACATTTTCCTGTTACGGAGTTTTTTACATGAGATAACAAACTACTTGTCCTCTCGTGATTGACATTTCATCCAGCACAACTTCTTCCAGCTCTATCCACGTTGCAGCATGTTGGAGTACCAAGGCTTTACACCACTCATCAGTTTGTTGTACTGTGGTGGCGTGGGTGTTGCTATGATATTGGAAGTTATGCTGCAGGCATTTCGAATGCCAGCAGGGTCAACACCTGCGCATATTTCCGGGGAGCTTCTGGACTAAACTCTACTATAAAGAAGGACCTTGTAGGCTATTTCTGAAAAGCCCTCTTGTAGTCTTCTTCAGGGGTGGGGCAAGAGGTGGTGGTGGCAAGGCTAGGGAAAGCCTCATGAGGAGCAGTAGAACATTGTCTGGTGTCGTGCTGGAATGTGAACCCCTCGGGCTACATGACATCTTAAATATGATGAGGGAAGAGCTGCCTCTTCAAAGGAGAGTCGATTTTAAAGTGGATGGAGATTCCAGACCTCAATGCTGATGTGGCATGACTCAAAATGAGAAGAACTAGCTGTAAATATCCATTACTAGTCAGCACATGGAACATATAAAGCATGAAGCCAAGACAAATAGAAGTTGTGAGGGAAAAAAATGAAATGGAATGTAAAAAGATGAGCGGAAATGGACTGGGGTTGTCCATTTTGATTCAGCGAATCATGTGGTTTACTGTGCCGAGAATGAGAAGGTGAAGGTGAAGGGCATCACATTCGTCATCAAAAAGAACTTCAAGACCTATCTTGAAACCCAACACTGTCATTGATAGGATAACATCTAGATACCTACAAGAAAGAACAGTTAACACAACTATAATTCAAATTTATGCACCAAACATTCATTCCAAAAATGAAGAAATCGGAGAATTCTACCACACTCTGTAGTCTGACATTGATCAAACATGCACTAGAAATGTACTGATGATTATGGATGATTAGAATGTGAAAGTTGGAAACAAAAACGTATTAGTAATTAAAAAAACATGGTCTCGGGGACAGAAACGATGATAGTTTGTCCTTGGAATCAGCTTTCAATGCTACAGCTGGAGACTTGAATTTTCTCTTCGGTCCTTTCAATTTGTGATGTGCTCTTCAGAAAAGTTTGCAAGACCAGTGACTTATTCAAGGAGGAGTGGGCTATGCATTGAGCTACGAACTATAAGCTCGGTCAGTGGCCGGGCTCTGCCCGAGAGAAAGATGAGGCCGTGTGCTCTCACAAACATGGAAAGTCTTGGACCTCCAAAGGGAGCAGTCCTTCTGTCTTGTAGGGCTGCAGAATCAGAATCTAGATGATTGCGGTGAGTTTGGGTTCATGGGTTTTTGTTGTTGTTTTGATCCACTTATTCATTGTAAATACCTTTTTTTCCTTTTTAAATCGTTTTATTAGGGGCTCATACAACTCTTATCACAATTCATACATACATCAATTGTGTAAAGCACACCTGCACATTCATTGCCCTCATCATTCTCAAAACATTTGCTCTCCACTTAAGCCCCTGGCATCAGCTCCTCATTTTCCCCCCTCCCTCCCTGCTCCCCCCTCCCATAAATACCTTTTTTTCAACAGCATAAATGGTGACTATACATATGGAACTCTCTGGATGGACTACAAAAAAATCAAGTAGACCTCATTGGTGGAAGGAGACCATGAATTAATTCAATGTTGTCAGCAAAGGCCAAGGGCCAAAAGAACGAACCATTGTTAGTTGTTCATATCCATGTTCAAGTTGAAGTTGAAGAGAAGGAAGTAAGTTTACATGAGCCAAAATACAATTTTGTATATATTTCACCTGAAATTAGAGACTATCTCAGGAACAGAATTTATGTACTGAATATAATGACAGAAGACCAGATCAGTTGTTGTTTGACATCAAAGAAATCACACATAAAGAAAGGAAAAGGTCACCAGAAAGACAGGAAAAGGAATTAAAAATGGATGTCAGAAGAGACTCTGAACCTTGCACTGAACGGTACAATAGCTAAAATAAAAGAAACGATGAAGTAAAACATCAGAACAGGAACCTGCAAAAGGTGACTCCGGAGGACAAAGGACAAAGTGAAGCATTACAATGAAATGTTCAAAGACCTGGAACTCGAAAACCAAAAGAGAAAAACACACTCAGCAAGTAACACTGAGAGAGTCCAAGGACAAAGTGTTGAACAGCACAGGGAGCATGAGAAGAAGACGGAAGGAATGCACAAGAGTACCAAAAAGAATCAGTTGATCTTCAATCAATATAGGAGGCAAGATATCAAAAACTAAGAGTATTGAAAGAAGACACCCAAGCTGAACTGCAGGCATCTGAACAAAACAAAACAAAACAAAAAGCCAAGGCTCCAGGATTGACAGAATGCAATTGAAATGTTAAAACAAACAGATGCAGTACTGGATGTACTCAACTTATCTATGTGAAGATACTAGGAAGACAGCTACCTGGCCAAATGACAGCAAGAGATTCAAATTTTGTCCATGAAATAGAAGAGTGATCCCAAAGAATGTGGAGATTTTCAAACAATATCATTAGTATTACATGCAAGTAAATTATGCTGAAGATAATTCAAAACCAATTGCAGCATTTCATTGACACAGAACTGCCAGTAATGCAGGGTAGGTTCACAAAAAGATGCGGAATAAGGGATATCACTGCGGAGGGATGTCCAATGGATCTTGGCTGAAAGTAGAGAACACCGGAAAGAGGTTTGCCTGTGTATTATTGACTAGCCAAAGACATTCAATTGTGTGAATTATGTCAATTGATGAAATGTTATTGTGAAGAATGGGATTCCCAGAACACTTAATTATGCTCATGGAACTGTAACTCAAAAACAAACTAAACCAAAGCTTTTGAATGTGCACAAGCATTACTGACCATTGCCAGCCCTGCTTCTACTGTCTGCTAAGTGGGCAATGTCGGTGTTTGTATACCACATGATTTTGGCCATCTCCCCATCCCTCATAGCTGACTGGACCAGCAATGGACAGCTGACCCAAGGGTGAATCCTTCTATAGGCTTCATCAGCCAATGTATGTCTTGGGTGACTGGTTAGAAAACATAAGTTGAAAATCTTAGGGGTTACCTGGGATTTTTAAACTACTGTATTGCTGATCAGAAAGGTCAGGAGGAATGAAGAGCCTAAGCAAGCTGCAGTGATGAGATGCAGACACCTTGTGTAGGCAAGGGAGCTGGTCACCCAGGAGAGAACTGGGAAAGGAAGATGCTGAAGCTTAGTGAGGATGGCATCGCCTTAACTTTTGGTGGTTTCTTAGTAATACAGTACTTCCATAGTCCTACTTACATTACTATTCCTATTATCAGATTTCTTCATTACTGCCAAGCCCTCTGGGAGCTACTCTTCTGAGTGGACCCCTAAGATGAGTGAATTCCTGCTTCCTGAAATAAACGGAGCAAAGCCTTATGTGTTCCAGTAAGTTCTTAAAATGTTATGAGACATCTGGAAGAAAGTAGCCTTGTAGCTACTCTAAGGGCAGCAATAAAAAAACAATTATTTTTTGCCATTTAGTTGCCTTACAGTGACCTGGTAGGACAGAGAACTGCCCCATAGGGTTTCCAAGGCTATAATACCATGGAAGCAGACTGCCACATCTTTCTCCTGCAGAGTGCTGATGAGTTTGAACCAACAACCTTTCGGTTAGCAGCCAAGCTAGCTTATGCTTGGCTAAGCCACAGGATGACATTCCGATTCAACACTGATTTCACGTTTTCTTAAAGCACTAGCTTTGGAGGAAAAGAGAGATTGCATCACGTTTTCCTTTGGGTGAGGTATTAGGTGAAGAGCTTATTGTGTACAAATTAGTTTTACATAAGAACAAAGTGATATCTGAAAAAGTAAGGCTTTAAAAAAAGTCTAATAGTTTAGCTCAACCAGTAAAATAGGTTTGCCTTGAGAATTATGCTCTTTTGAGAATAATCTATATGTTTTAGAAGAGGTATTGTGGAACTGTAGTCTTAACATTTTTTAGTCCGTTAGCTTCGCTGTGAAACCTCATAACCATGAGTATTTTCTGTGAATTCTCTGTGGCACTGTAATGGATTATCAAACCTAGTAGAAAAGTAGAGTCCCTTGGGAGGGAAGGTTGGTTGAGAATAAGAATGAACAAGGTTAGAGGGTGGGAGCCTGATTGATCTCTGCCTCATCAATTTGGAGCTTAGGCTGACATTCAGTCAGCTTCTCCATCTCTGTTGTGTAGCTGGAGGAGATCTGACATGGCCTCCAAGCCATTGCTGCACCTATCAGAAGTACATGAGACTAAAACTTGCTGCTTCACTTCTATCCTTATTCTGGCTTTATTTCTTATAACATAGGTTTGTCTGTTCTTCTGGAAATCCATGGTATATACAATATTCTTCCCCAATACCACAGTTCAAATCATCAACTGATCTTCAGTCTTCCTTAATCATTGCCCAGATTTCACAAACACACAAAGCAATCGAAACGATCATGGCTCGAATGAGACATCTTTACTTTTTGATAATATAGAGAAGTTTTGTACAGATTTGTCCAATACAATACATTAATTGATTTCTTGACTGCAGCTTCCATGTGTTGATTGTGGATGTAGGTACAATAAAATCATAGACAACTTCAATGTTTCGTGTTTACAAGATGTTGCTTATTGGTTCACTTGTGAAGATTTTTGTGTTATGTTGAGGTGTAATCCATATTTAAGGCCATAGTCTTTGAACTTCATCAGTAAATGCTTGCTTTCAGCAAGAAACATTGTATCATCTGCCAACAATTGCCCAAAGCTACTAGAAGCAGAAAAAGACAAAGATTGAATGCATATGGTGAAAGGATACAATCCTGACACACAATCTTTCTGATTTTAAACCACAGTGTCTCCTTCTTCTGGGCAAACAACTGTCACTTGGGCTATATCCAGGTTCCACAGGAGCACAATCAAAGATGCTGGAATTCCCATTCTTTGCATTGTTATCCATAAATTGATGTGGATCCATAGACAAATGCCTTTGCATAGTCAATAAAATACAGCCAAAATCTTTCTAGTATTCTTTGCTTTCAACCAAGTCCACCTACTACCAGTAATGGTATCCTTCATTCTACCCCCACTTATGAAGCCACCTAGAATTTCTGGCTGTTTCCTATCAAAGTACTTCTGTAATCAGTTTTGAATTATTTTCAGAAAAATTTTACTTGTGTGTGACATTAATGGTATTATTTGATCGTGTCTTATTCTGTTGGATCACCTTTCTTTGTAATGGGCATGGGTGTGAATTTCTTCCAGTAGACTGGCCAGGTAGCTGTTTTCCAAATTTCTTCACTCAGCATCTGTTTATTGAAACATGTCAATTAGTATTCTGTCAATTCTTGGCACCTTGTTTTTTGGCCTAAGCCTTCAGTACAATATGGACTTCTTCCATCTTTGCTGTTGGCTTTTGATTCTATGTTACTTCCTTAAATGGTTGAACATTCACTGCTTCTTTAACCAAAAAAAAAAAAGGCCAGTGAAAACCAGATGAACAGCAAGGTAAGGGTAACTGAGGTCATCTTAAAATTCCGACTGCCACAAGGCTCAATACATATTTTCAATATCAAATGAAATGTGCTCCAGAAATTTGTAAGCATAAAAACTGTATTCAGTTATAAGCCCCACCCCCGCCCCCCCCCCAACACCACCCCCCCCCAGTCATTTTTGGGACAGCACTTTCTACTCCCATAGAAAGTGACAGTCTCAGAAACCCACAGGGGAAGTTCCATCTTGTCCTAAAAGGTCACTGTGAGTTGGCATCGACTCAATAGCAGTGAGTTTACTGTCATTTTGGAGGGTTTTTCGGTTGCTTCCAAATGTGTTAGATGCAGACAGATGAGGATGCTGTAGGGAAAGAATACAGTGAGACCTGCGGGGAGCATAGGTTAACTGGAAGGCAGGGCCTGGGAACAAGACCGGACCCTGCAGCTGATGGCAGAGTGACTGGAGACTAAGTCTCTGGCACTCTCTGCATTTCTGATTTCCCCCCTTATTTGAGGGGATTGGAAAAGACAGAGACTCAGGTCTGCCAGCTCTGTCTATAACTCATCAGACTGAATCACACAGATCAAATTAAAATGACTCACAATACCCAAATTCATTAAAATAGTTCATCAAAGAATTTCATTATAGATGAAATTGCAATGATGTGGTCTTAAGAGGAAAAGCCAGCTTTGCTTTTAAATGGATCCATTTGTATATTGGCTAAATATGCTTCTAAATATAAATAAAGGTATCTACCTACATTTTAAATAGTTCACAAAAATTAGTGAATGGTGTATTTTGTCTTGAGATGACAAGTCAGTTCAGTTTGGGTCAGAAGTGAATTTCCCTCCTATCTTTAAACTTTATAAACCACTGTCATATAATAAACTTAATGAATTCGATTGACAATAATTGAAAAACTATCAAAGGCAATTCTGAAATGTTATGAATCAATTCACTGACGACGTGTACAGCATGTTGAGCTTCTTGGAACCTTTTTGAGGTTGCAAGTCATTCTTCAGTGTTCCTCAAATGAAGCTTCTTTGGCTAGGAGCAATATTCTGCTTTACCCAACAGAAATGAGCTCTCATTTTAAACAGGTACTACTGAATCCCAGTGAAAGAGGCTTCATGCAGATGTATTTGTGAAAAGATCCCTTTACTGACTGTGCACAGTGTATTAACAATTCACATTTCACTTTATCTACTGAGTGGAAGAGCATTTATTCTTTCACTAAAAAGTTAAGCCCTCCAGGGCAGCAGCAGGGATGCAGACTCTTCCATCTACAAATGACACTGTCCAGTGAATGTGAAGTGCCTTAACATTAATACAAAAAAGGAAAATAGGACAAATCAACTTCTCCCTCCCTCCATCACCCCTCCCTTCATCACCCCCTCCCTTCTTATTTTATCAAGATTATTTTACTATTTTAAAAAATTATTTTATGAAATGCCAACAGGTAAACCGTCCCCATATTGTTATTTCCACCAATCAGAAGAGAAATGTCAACATTTATCTGACACCCACTGGGTTCACAACATCCTTCCGGCTATGTGCAAGTGACCAAAGGAGTATGAGGTAGCCACGGCCATTTCCTCAGGAAGATGCCTTATGGACAGAGAGGGGAGCAATCATGAGCACACCGGTCCACCTTCAGCACCTTGCTGCTCAAGTTTCAGGAGCTGCTTTTCAAGTTTTGAGATGTTTACTCGATGCATCATCAGAAACTGGCCATTCAAATGGAAGACAGGGATGTCAAATTTATACCTCTCATACCAAGCAGAGTGCTGTGGGAGTGTGATGTCCACCTCCTGTAAAATAAACTGAAACAAAGACACACTAAAATTCTGTATTTTAAAGAACAAAGAACATGCAGCAAATGCAGTGATAAAGTGATCCTCAAAGCGTTTCTATTGCCGAGAGCTTTTCGTTTTGATTTTTCAGCTCCATCATGATGAAGTGCCCTGGCTGGCACAGCTTGACTGGCTTCATGATCTTCCTTAACTCTTAACTCTGTGCTGCTCTTCTGTTACCCTGCTCTCATAGAACATCAGGGCCCCACTTGTTCCCCAGTGGAACAAAATGAGCACCCCAACAGGGCTGCTACCTGGGAATCATGACAGAAGCTGTGGGGATGGAAAAGGTGTGATGGCATGCTGCATGAAAATACTTCCGTGCGAGTTGCAAAATGAGATAAAGGTGATGGAGACAAAAATGATTTAAAAGCCTGAATATTGCACCTGCTAGTTAACTTTGACTCATATTAAGTAAGAAAACTAGTCCTGTTCTGGGGAAAACACTTAGGGGTAATGAGTTTTATGGAAATAAGCACTAAAAATCTCTCTCTGAAGAATAGAATGAAAATTTAAATGAAAAATCATTTAATCTCTTTTCTTAAAAAATGGATCCAGGCAGATACTTTATACCACACACAATATCCATTCCATACACATAAAAGCCAACTGTATTATATTACCCTGTTATTATAAGGCTTGAGTACTTCTTTGGCTTCATCACAAAGGGGGCATGGATCCTACAGGAGGAAAAAATAAAGCTATTAAACCCAAAGAATGGTAAGCTGCCTAACAACAATAATAATGGGAAAAACCCCACACAAAGCAGACTGTACTTATTGTAAAGGATAGTTGTCTACCAGGTCAGTTAGGCTGCTTTACTTCTGAAGCAGAACATTGCCACAGAGAATCTTACAAACAGCATATTTTTCATAGTGGATGGGCTCTCAGTGTTTTTTGGTTGCTTCCCCCACCCCTCTGCACAAATTTACTTAATGTACACGCATATACTTATAAATGCACAATACATTTAAGGCTTGCATTTGTTACTAACTTCATCTAATTATTATCTGGAATGATTTCTCCTCACCAATTTATAGTCCTGGGGCCTTGCAACTTCCAAGCTTCTTGCACTAGGCCTGGATGACACCCACAGATTGACTTAAAGTTTATTCTGAAGGAGGCGGGGTGAATGAGCCTTGCTACCTTATTTTCCCTAGTCCAGGGGAATAAACAAACCCATTAGGAGGTGATTGTCCCATCTTTTTTTTTGGTCTCACATAATTTAATAGGGAAGTTAACAGGATCAGAAATGCTCAGGACATAGTTCTTCAGTAGGGGCAGCCTCTTCCCAGCCATGACCTCTCTCTGGTCTTTGACCTCTCAGCTACACGGCCTGTCGGCTTCTGCCCTGCTCAAGCGATGGTTAAGACGCTCTTTGAGGGCTTCCAGTAAGGGTGCAAAGGGCACACCACTCCACCATAATTCTCAGTCCAAAGGCATTTAGGTCTACCTTCATGAATCAGCAAATATGGCTTCCTCAATTCAATACCTGGAGGCACCCCACTAGCAAGTGAATCTCTGGCTGAAGGAAGCATTACCGCATCAAAGATTGCCCCATTTTTAAAATGGGAAATATCTCTACTCACTTTGAATGATGATGATATCACTTCATTAATGTTTTGTCTATTTTATCATTAAGAGTATCAAGCATAGGGCTTCTGGAATAATTCTTCCCCTGAAGGACAAGCAAGTTTCAGTGTCCACAGTTGCATTCCTAACTGTCTTCTGAGAAATCTGTCAAAAATACTGGGCATGATTGGCAGGTTTTAACGGTGTCTCAGACGTTGTTTCTGGGAATAAGGACTAGCTACAGGTTCTCTTAAGGAGCCCTGGTTATGCCTTGGGCTACTAACTGGCAAGGTCAGCAGTTTGAAATCACCAGCAGCTCTGTGGAAGAAAGATGGGGCTCTCTACCCCTTATTCCCATAAAAAGTCACAGTCTAGGAAGCTCACAGGAGCAGTTCTACCCAGTCCTATAAGGTTGTGATGAGTTGGCATCGATTCAAGGGCAGTGAGTTGCTTGCTTTTCAATAGGTTCTCTTGATAAGCTTAAGATAGACTCAGCATTACTGATTTAATATTAAATATAAAATCTGCTTCTAACCATCTGTGATGGTAAAAGGTGAGCTGTGTGAGATAAGAGCATTCCTTCCTCTATTTTAACTCACAACTTGTTTTGAAATAGGGCTCCACTCATCAAAAGAACATTTTCCTTCAAAGGAAGTTGCCTTTCTGGCTATAATTTCTCAGGTCAGAGAATTTGGCTCATCGTGTTATTAGCATTATTAATATATCGGGTATTAGAGATGGTTTATATTATTTTAAAATAATCATTTAACCATGTCAACACAGGATCTTAAAAGCAAAATAAGACATGTTATAATGCACAAGAACCAAATGTACCAAAGTTTAACTCATAAAAAAATGTACAAGAGTCTGACACAGTTGTTTTTTTTCTATGGAAATGCATGCAAACTATCATGTGTGTATAACCCTCTATAAGGAATGGATCATCAGATTTTAAAGGGCCTATAAGTTCAAAAAGCAGAGCATTTAAATACCACACCAAAAAAGAAAACAAAACCAGGCTAATTCTAATCATGAAAATACATTTTATCTTTTGTTTTAATAACATTTTAATAATGCAAGCATATTAACTCGGATAAAGGGGAAAACAATATACAAAAAGGGAGCGGTCAGCACTGAACAATGAAGGCAAAGGAAGACACTGTGAGGAGCACAAGAGTTCAAAGCAACAAGGTCAATACTATTACCGATGGGACCCTGCAATAATCTACGAGTGGCGGCAGAGAAGGACCTTCAAGCTGAACAGGTTTGGGGAGAAGAATGGGACTATACCTTGAATATATATAGGTTCGACAGAACAAATGTCTACATATGTATATACCTCTGCTGCGAACACATCCACAAATGCAATAGAATAAAGGGGGATTATTTATGAAAATAAATTCTTAGCCATCACCAAACGCCTTGAGGGACTGAGTCACTGGTTCTCTAGGCCCAGCGCCACAGTCTCCGGGGACACCAAAGTCAACTGACACAACATAGTCTTCAAAGCCAATGTTCCAAATCCTAGTTTGATGAGTGGTACCTAGGTTTTTAAAACCTTGTGGACAGCCACTGTATTAGTCTGGGTACTTTGGAGAAACAAATCCACGGCGACTCATGTATAAGAGAGAGTTTTATGTAAAGAAAAGGTGCATCACGAAAACATCCCAACCCAATGCTGCCCAAGCCCACAAGTCCAACATTAACCCATTAACCCAACACCAGTCCACAAAGTCCTCCACCTCACAAAACAGAGGCAATGATGGCGACTGCAGGAGGAAAGCTGAGTCCATGAATGTGTAAGCATCTCAGCACTGGCAAGGGTCTCCACATGGCTGCTCCAGCATCCAGGGCTGCATCGGGATAGATCCATGCAGCTTCTCCTTGGGGATGTCTTGGAGGAAGTCAATCTTGCAAGCTGAAGCAGGGAACTGCTAAGGCAGCTGCACCCGATGCAACCACCACAAAACAAGAGACCCGAGAACTCGAAAGGCGAGGCTTCACCACCCATTTATCCCTCCGCCTTTCAACCAGCACCACATGTGATTATCGGCCAGGCTGGCACAATTAACTAACTCAGCCACCAAAGGTGCAACTGTTGCTTTTTCCCTGTCTGAAGAAAACTGAAGGCATATGGAAGCAATTAGTCCAGCGGACTAAGGAACCATGTGAATATCATATCGGCTTCCATGACTTTGAGAACCAGATGGTACCCACTACCTACTGCTCTGAAAGGGATCACATTAGAAGGGCCTGGGTAGAGTGGAAGACAAACGTGGAACAAAACTTGAAATCATGAAAAAGACCAGGTTTGCTGGTCAGTCAGAGATCAGTAAACCCCTCTGCCTGCTAGACTGGGCCTTCGCACTGCCCTCATGCTTGGAGCTAAGCTCATCTTTATGGGGCCGTTTTCAGTCAAAGGATGGACAGCTCTGTAAGGTAAACAGGAACACTGAGCAGGGACGCATTTCACAGGCTAGCCAATCATTTGAGATAGAGAGGGCAACCTTTACCCAAAGGCCAAGATCAGAAAACAAGCAGGGGTAGGAAAGGAGCCAGGGGAATGAGAATCACAGGGAGGAAGGGGGACCCGTGGTGTTACTTTGTGGGGGCTGTAATCAATATTTACATGAAACAGAAAGAGGATGCACTGTTGAATGGAAAAATGATGTGCTCTGTACACCGCCCAATTCATACACACATACATTTTGAGCTATTTAATGCAAGCTGTAATTCATATAAGAACCAACTAATCTGAAGATTTGGGTGAATCATTTTGGGAAAGGGAGAAGGCGGCCACTTCTTCAGTGTGTTTTATAGGCTAATGGAGTCAAGCTTTCATGTGATTACTAACTTTTGTTTCTCCAAAGACAAGAATAAAGTCCAGTCTTAGTTTTGAAGAAAGTAAGTTTTTAATTTATCTAGAAGTAATGAAACAAGAACATCTTTCAGGCAGCATTAATATCATCCTTTTCTGGGATCTCCATGGTGTGTGGGCACCAACACAGCACTTGCTGGGTACTCTGTCCCTCGGTGGAACACGGTGGGTTGGCAGCCCACCAGCCACTCTCTTTTCGTATAGCAGAGTGCTGCGGTTTTACTCACAGAAGCCCCCTCAGCTCCTGTCTCATGGCTGATTCCATTCCTGAGCAGTAGAGGAGGAACACCGGGCCTAGTCTGAGGCAATCAGCATCCGGTCCCTCTTGGCTACGCTCAGCTCACGATGGACTACTCAGAGCCCAGAGAAAGCCATGGGCCCTTTGCCGGCGTTCTCACAGGCATCTGAGAGGTGCACTTGGGGTTTAAGAAACGGATGGAGTTAAGCCTGAGGAAGCAGACCTGAAGAGTCTGCTAACCTGCTTACCGACACGAATCAAGTTGTTTCAGACACTGGACCAATGGATACAATCCGATTACATTCTCCTGGGACATACTTCCTATTGTTCATAGCAGAGAACCATCTGGAATTACAGTTTATGTAGCTCTTTAACTGGATTGTGAACTCTGAAGGGGGGAATGATATTACAGGCTGAATGGCACATGCAGGACCCACGGTTAGCTGAGTAGGTGTGTGTGTGTGTTTGTGTGTGTGTGTGTGTGTGTGTAAATGTTTTTGAGAACCGTCATGCAGCTCAGATCGAAAAGCAGTGCAGAACAGTTAGGCTGAGTGAGCACCATGGACCTTAAGGGAGTATTTTATTGTTGTGGTTAATTCTCATATACATTTCCCACAGCAGACTCTCAGATGAAATATTTTTGTTCAATCATTTCCACCAGTGCAATATATACTTAAGGATATGAAAAGTCATTTAGATTAAGCATTCTCAATAAGAAATTCATTTTGTAAAATTGCTTAAACTTTGTCATTAGATAACTGACTGCCGGATATTTTCATATTGCTGAAATGTCTGAAATCTATCAAAGAGACTTTTTTTTGAGTTGCAGTCTCATTCACTGAAGTTAATTCTATTACCTTGTACTTTGTTTCTTTTATGATTATAAATTACACAGGGTCATGTCAACTAGCAAAAGGAGATCAATAATGTTCATATTGTAAATATCTTGGGGGGGTGCTCCTTAGGGGAAATCTTCCTGGGGGGAAGTGCCTTAAATCTAGTGCTTGAGATAGAAACATCAGTACTTCTAAATGATATATTTGTAAACATCAAATTATAACATAGTAGTTCCCCACCCCGTCAATGTATGAGTGAGAGGACCACTAAATATACTAACATGCCCTCTCGGGTTGTGAACCAATGAGGGGTCTGGGTAGGAAACAAAGTGACTACTAACACGTTGCTGGAAAAATTGAGGAGCAGGTCTGAAGATAGCTTATCCTATTGCTTTTCCTTGGAACATTCTGTTATCTTTCCCAAACAATTTTAGTAGCTGACATTTTCAGAGTTGTAATTTTACTTTTTCTCTGTACCTTTGTGAATAAAGTCAGCACAGGCAGATTTGTCTTAGAGGTAGAGAGATTTCTCAGGAGGAATCCAAAGGAGTATCTGGCGAGGTGCACTCTGTTGCCTCGAAACCAAAGCATCTTTAAGTCTGCCAAGAGAAAAAGGAACCAGTCAGCTTAGGTGCCCTGTGCTTTGCTCTTCAGCACACAAACAGCATGTGGCAGCCTCTGCGATGGGAGTGTGAGGACTTGAGATTTGGGCCTTGGACTCCAAGAGGGCTGTAGGCCCAGATGTTTGGCAAGTCTCCAGGATGCTTCACTATCCACTACCTTCCAAACAAAACAGAATTTATGATGGAGGGGGAAACTCCATATTTATTCATGTAAATAGAATAGCTGTAAACCTAATCACTTGGCTTCTGTAAACAAACTGCGTGTATTTGTTAATTTGAGTACAAGATTAAATTTCACCTGCACAATTTGCCAGCATTATGAAAATCCCCTAAAACGTGGACGTTTCCCAAGGTGGTTTTCATTCACAAGGATAACCTACATCATGGGCAAGCAGTCACCATCACCATGCCATCACCACTGTAAAGAAAGCTGTTAGCAAGCAGCACAAGCTCCCAGCTGAAGGTGCAGGCTACCTCTGGCAAGATAGATGCCCCTCCATAGCAAGAAATGGGGAAATGCAAAACTATGGCTATAGAGACTCCCATGGAGAATTAGGCTGAGTTAACTTGTCAGGGGAAACGAAAATCTACTCAATTGCTTTACAAAGAATTTTTAAATTTTCTACTGGAGGTATTTTAATAAGAACAAGTAGGGAGTAACGGTATGTCAAACACTAGGCTTTGAAATTCCCTCATCCTGCTACTTCACTCAACATAAGACACCGACGTGTTCCTCGGTTATTCTACTGAGCCTTCTGCTTTGTCCTTAAAACTATAAACATCGTCATTTTACTTCTAAAAACATGTGTGCTTGATTTAATCATTTATGACGCTTCCCAACATGAATTCATTCATTCTTAATTTTGCTTTCTCCTCTTCTCCACCCTCACCTATTGCTTTCCCCTCTCTGACCATGCGCTGGCCACAAAGATCTTTGGATTCTTTGAATAATTCCCGAAGACCATTTCTTCCTCACGGCCTCTCTACTTGCTGTTGAGATGGCTGGGGTACTTCTAAGTAGCTCTTCCTCATTTGGCCTGAGCTCATGGCACTGCTTCAGAGAGAGGCCCCTTGTAACTACCTGCCTTACCAACACTGGCCAGCCCAGCACTCTCTGTCTTCACCTTCCTAGAACTTTCTGCCCTATCTCTTGTTGTGACTTGTGATCCCACTGGCTCTCATTTACGGTGATCTTATGTCCAACTATAACAGGACAAAGTGCTGCCCAGGCCTGTGCCATCTGCATGATTGTTGGTGTGTTTGAGCCCACTGGTATGGATAGCGTGCCAACGTCGTTATTAAAGTTATTTATCTATGTCCTCTTCACTACTTCTCCATTCCGCATTAGCAGGTACTTATTCACCCCTGCATCTCCAAGCACCTACCATTATGCCTGGCACACAGTAGGTACTCGAAGATTCACTTGACTATCAGAGTAATGGAGTGAGCTTTTCTCAGCCTCCTTAGTCTCGCCTCTGACCCTGATGAGACATTCCGGGAGCACAGTAGTCACTATTTGGCTCTCTCCATGATAACTAAAGGGGAATGTTCCTCAGGGTGTTCTCAAGGTTATACAGCTAATTCCAGCCCCTTTAGCACCATCTCCAGCCTCCTCCTGATCCACTCCACAGAGCATGACTATATTAATTATGTGCCCCATCTCTACTAGCTCCTGGGCTCCTCAGTGTTAGTTTAGCCTTAAGCTAATTTCAAGCAGGCTGATATAACCCTGGAGAAAACCCCCCAACTATAGGAAGTAAAGATCACATGAGCAAAAATATGAAATACTAATCCATGAGAACAATGATTGCTCTTTACTCTTCTACTTTTCCTAATAATACATTAGGATAGTAATGTGGTGAGAATCATGCAAGGATAGATTACTCAGGTGTCCCAAGGTAGAAAGTTAGTCCACAGAGCTGAACACTCTGCTGCACTACTTTAAGTGCTGAACAGGGGTAGAATCCTCACCTTTCACAGCAGACCCAGGTTTGCATTCTGGTCAATGTACCTCATGGCTATGTTTGCCTGTCAGTGAAGCCTGTGTGTGGCTCTGATGCTGAACACGCCTCAGTGGCTGGCTCAGACAAAGACTATAAAAAAAGACTGGGTGAGAGCCTTCCCAAATCCAGTGAGGGGAAACATTTTACCCAGCCTAAATATGGCCGATGAGTACAAAAATGAAGAAAATGCCCTAACATTGATTGTGGTGATTACACAACTCTTTCAAAATTATTAAAACCATTACATCACAGGGAATGTGAATTAAATGTTAATAAAGCTGTTGAAAAATCAGCCAGTGACAATCCAATGGATCAGAAGAGTGATATCATTGTACATGGGCTCACCATGGGTGAGTGCCTACTTGATAGCAGCTCTTAACAAATACACATTTTCCATAAATTAGTTGAATTAACAACCTTAGCAAGTGAATGAGGGTGGTGACAAATTTTTAGTCTACACAGAAAATAAATGGGAGGGGAAGATATAATCTGGCCATATTTAGGCTGGGTGGAAACTTTCACCTCACTGGATTTGGGAAGGTTCTCATAGGGTGTTGTGAAACAGCGTAGGAGAAACATCTGATCTCCTCTAACTTCAAACAGGGGACAGAGAATCATCACAGGCATCAACAACCCAAAGCTAATTGGGAGTTGAGGTTTTGTGTTCATTTCACTGAGCCAGGTTTCTCGGTGATTTGATAGTCAAGACCTAGGAATCCCATATGATGAGATCTCCTTTAAGGTGTGGCCTGCTTCCAATACAAGTGGATGCTCTGGAAAAGCTTGCTTTTATTCTGGGTCTGAATCTTGCATTTGGCTTTTTGACTCCTGTTCTTTGTGCTTCAGCCCAGCAGTCTGCTGATATTTCCTGCCCAGACAGGGCATCATCAGCAACCTGTCATCTTACCTTTTGACGTTGGATTCATTTGTCTCTACAACCAGAAGGCTACAATGAATCTTGGATTCATTGACCTCTATGCCAGAAATCTGTCATCTGACATGGACATCTTGGGATCATCAGCCCCTGCAGCTATGTGAGTCAGGAGAGACACCTCCAGTTTGACCTCTGACCCATGGACCAGAAACTGGCCTGCTTCTACAGCTGTGTGAGCCATTTCCTTGATTTAAACCTCTTCAGTCTATCTATCTATCTATCTATCTATCATCTATCTATCTATCTATCTATCTATCTATCTATCTATCTATCTATCTATCTATATCTATCTATGCAGGTCAATGGTTTTGCTTCTCTAGAGAACCCAGACTAAGACACCAGAAGTGCCTCCATTCTCTAAACTTTTAACCAATTCTAACACCACACACCACTCTCTCTCAGCTGGACTCGATAATTTGTTACAATGGCCAAACAGGACTCCTAGCAAATACAATTATAGGATGCTTTAGGTAACTAATGGGTTGTAATTCCGTAACAGAAACAACTCAGGATACAGTTCTTAGATCAGGACAGCCTCTTCTCAGCTATGCCTGCAGACAAGCCTCTTTGGCTTTGGCCCCTTAGTGTGCTCAGGCAAATGTTAGAAAGCACGGTTAGCTCTGCCAATTAAGTGCCCTGAGGTGGCACATCACTCCCCCAGTAAGCCTTGGCCTGAAAGCAGTCAGCTCTAGCTGGGTGGATGGACAAACCGTGCTCCTTTGTCAAGTACCTGGAGTCACCCCACTCTGCCAGCAAACCTCCCACCTAAAGACACTCAGCTTTCTCTGTGGGCCAGGCAGCCCACCGCTCAAGTCTTGTGGAAATCTTCTGGGTTGGCTGCCTCTGCTGCCGCCATTTCTTGGCCACTGCACTTCGCTGCCTCTTGCTCTTTTTGATGTCACAGCTTTGTCTCCTGGATCTGGAACATTCAGTGCAGGGATCTAAGATTCAAAGGATATGCTCCATTCTTGAGGCTTCTTTCTTAATAGTTGTGAGATCCCCATTTCCTGCTTCTGGAATGGTCCATTTTAAGCTCAGTGGGGTGGCAAGACTGACCATTCCCCATGTTAGGGTTCCATTCCCCTTATTTACCTGGTCCCACCCCCAAAGTGGTGCCATGTACCTTATTTACATGATTAGAAAGTTACCCAGTCTTCTTGGTGGGCCATATGCACCTCACATTTTCATAGTCCTACCCAATCATTTGGTGAGAGCTAAAAGATTATAGCTAGAGGCTACATTAGGTAATTCACTGCATCGGGGGCGTTGGGTTATAGAAGGCATCCTGCAGTTGTCGGGAGAAAGAAAAAAATTTAAATCGGTTTTGTTAGTATAGAAGCTAAAAGACAGCCTTTAGAAATGATAATGATCGGGCTGTCCATGGCAGTGACCTAAGACGACAGCCAGGACAGTGAACCGGAGCTACATGCTTTTGGTGGAGGATTTAAGATTTATTGATGTCTAGCTGGTAGGGAAAGGCAAACTTATTGCTTTTACCCAGCTGAGTTAAGACTGAGGTGTTAAGGCTTTAAAAAAAAAAGTCACATTCACAATGGAAATCTGCTTCAGCATTTCTAACAGGACAAAGCACAGCATGTAATCTTGGTTGTACCCAAGACAAATAAAACCTGTCATAGTAAACAGAGCTGCTATTCTTTCCAGATTTGTGGGCATATTTGTTCAACCAACCCAGCGAGCTAAGGAAAGTCTTCAGTGCTACCACCAATCTATTACAACTTGTTCTCTTTGCCACTGTTTTCTCCATTGCTACTTTCTTGCATGACTCTAATCACTTAGTTAAACATGGCACATTTACTTACTGGGAAATGTAATTTTACTACTGCATTTTTGCAAATGTCCTCAGGCACATGCTTTTTACCCATAATGTAAAACTAGCATGTTGTGTTGGAAGCAGCATGTTTGTAATTGCACTAGAGCTGGATATAGAGCAAAAGCTCATTACCCTGATAAAGTATTATGCCAAGATATTAAGGCCCAACACCTGAACCCTGGTGTCCATGTAATTCTAGAAGTGTCATGAAAACATGATGCACTCCGACTGCGACTACATCGTACTCTTCTTAGAACATTTTACTAACTCTGTAAATCCAAATATCATTGCTGTCAATGTCACATTCACCGAAACATGCTTGCTTGAAGTAAAATTTTAATATGGGCTACTCTGTCAATGTGACACTTTCATTAGTTCTATTAGTTTTCAACAGTATCATATATATATATATATCTCCTGAAAGACTCTACCTGGTAACTCATGTCTGTGAAAGGACAACTTCATATATATATATATATCCTGAAAGACTCTGCCTGGTAACTCATGTCTGTGAAAGGACAACTTCTTTTGGATTATGTCATTGAATCTTGTCATGAGTGTAGTGTGTTCTTACAACACGCACAGACCCAGCTTTATCCTTGGTGTTTTGTTATATGCCTCTGTGATATGAGCCAAAAGAGCTGTGTTCATAATATCAAAGAAAGACAATTGGGTCACCTTTGCTGCAGACTTTCAGAAAAGCAAAAGGCCGGAGACAGGATTTAGAATGTGCCTAAAACAGATTCCACAGCTTAACAATGGAGATGGGGACTTCCTGCTGCTTCAAGTCCAGTGCGGTTCACAGAGGCAGGGCTCACCCTGAAAGAGAAAGGGAACGCTCGCTAGCCTTTCAACAAAGCTGAGGCCCACTTCAGTGGTCTTTACGACAGCATCAAATACAACATGGG